GCTTTGCGTGGTTCAAGTTCTTCCTCACACTCAGTACGCTGGCAACAGCAAGAAGAAGACTACAAAGATATATATATATGCATATGTATGTATACATATATATAGAGTCTCGAAGACCAAACAAATGAGTAAGACTGGCAAGAATAGGAGGAGAAGCGAAACCCAGACAAACGACCTTCACAAGGACCCATGTGGGGCGCAAAAGTGTCCCTTCGTGATCTTTCGCTCTTCTGTTCCTCCAAGTCCCTGCGTGAGACAGCTCCGGCAGCATCCTCGTCATCTTCACAGGGTCTTATAGCAAATGATTACTCGGAGCTTGCAATTTCCCTAAACCCAAAACCTTAGACCCTAAGCCGTAAACCCTAAACGCTAAACCCTAAACCCTAAACAGCTGCTTCTGTAGGCCCTGGAGCTCACCGAGGAGGCAAGGGAGCGCGTCATGTTAGCAAGAAGTAGCTCGTTGCATCTGTTGCACGCCCCATGGCTATATAATCATGATTGTATATTTATATACAAAATAGGTGTAATAGTGGAACTGCATGATTATGTAAATATGTACTTGCACAATAGTATTCTTATACTAATGTATGATTATGTTATTATATTGTTATATACTCATATTACTATATTCGTAGATGAATAGATTAGTATGTTATTGTATTCCTCTATTTAAGTCGGAGATTTTCATGTTGTTACGACTATATTGTTACATTACTATAGCATTTCTATCAGTATGTTATCAAACAATTATGCACACATACGCACACCGTCGTCTGGAGGTGGCAGCGTCTACTGCGTCCAAGGTTCGGGAACGGCGTCAGGCCAAGCTCCAGGACCGCTTTCGTTTTCGGGTTTAGGGTTTGACGGGTTTACGGGTTTAGGGGTTTAGGGGGTTTAGGGCTTTAGGGCTTTAGGGGTTTAGGGGTTTAGGGTTTAGGGTTTACGGGTTTACGGGTTTAGGGGTTTAGGGGGTTTAGGGGTTTAGGTATCAATCTTCGAGCCGCCCCAAAGCCTTCATCTAGCATCGTAGAGTAGAGCGCAGTGCAGTACAGTAGAGAGTGTCCAGTATCAAGTAAACTACTTCTAGCACGACATGTAGCATTGCCACGTGTTACCAGATACCAGCTGATGTGCAACGACTCCCAGACCCAACCCTATGGCTAGGCAAACAGGGACTGCACACGCTCTCGGTGCAAAAGGTACGCATGCCAAAGTCCTTTTGTGAGGCCCTAATCCCCCAACCCTAAACGGCTCAGATTCGCCCGCGAGACAGCCACTCTTCGCCACACACACACACACGCACACTCTCTCTCTCTCTCTTCTCTCTCTCCCTCCCTCACACGCTCAAACCACACACACACACTATAACACACACGCTATAACACGCTTTTGATTTGTTGCGCATTGGCCCCTGTCTGGACTCGTGCAGGAACCGATTCCCACGCCGCCGATAGCTTCGGTTCGCTTTGAGGACGTGGACCGAAACCGAGACGGCCTGATCAGCGCGGCTCTGAGCACGACATGTTGCATCAACCCACCGAAAAATGCCAAGGATGTGGAACACACGCATACACATACACAGTCCGAAAGATTTATCAAAGGGTTATCCTGATGCAAGGCCGCGAAGAGTTTGAGCAGTTCCAACAAGAAATGATCGCGCAGGCCGTGTTGCAGAACTTTAGAGAGCCCTTCCTTTCGAGGCTTTTTCGGGGGCTTTGATCACAGGCTGGCACTCCAACACCTGGACGGTCCATGCCGGGTGAGATGGAGGCCAAGTGTGTCCATGAGATTCCTTTACGGAGACCCAATGACTCCAAGACCCCTGAATCAAGGACAATTCCTTAAACCATATCAGGAATCCTCTTCCTTAAGCCCTAAACCCTCAACCCTAAACCCTAAACCCTAAATTAAGGGAGATTGGAGTCTCTGGAGAGAGGCTTGGTGGGTTCTGCTGTGGGCGACCACGTGTGGTAGGACCCGCCAGAAGACCAGCCGAGCTCCCCGAGCAGGATCGGCTTTTTTTGGGGGGTTTAGGGTTTAGGGTTTAGGGTTTAGGGTTTAGGGTTTAGGGTCTGGGGTCTGGGGTTTGGGGTTTAGGGTTTAGGGTTTAGGGTCGGATTCCAAACAGTGATGCAGCCTGGCACAGCATGCCGTTCTCGGCAATTCTGCAGGCCAGCCAGAAATCGATCCTTATTCTCAGGTCCTGTACGGCACTCAGCATAGCATCTACAGTCTACAGTAGTGCAACCATTTCACGCGCAATTCTGGGATTTTCAGCTTGTCTTGACGACCATGCTTCAGGGACAAGTCCTAGAAAGCACTCTCAAAGGTGTGAGGCTGGTTGAAGATACAGCAGACACAGACACGGTGTAAGTCGCGAGCCAACTGTCAATAGCCAGATGGCAGTCTGGCCTCTTTTATCTGTTTTGCCGGCAGCCTTTTCAGAAGTTTGCTGTGCGTTCTGTAACGTGTAGCCGGCCACCTTGATACAGTCTGCATGTTCAGCTGTTACTCCGCGATGCCCAGCATACCTTGCAAGTAATGCCTGCTCCATGCTGAAGTGTCAGGGTGGCATTGCTGTCATTTTTTCTCACAAGGTTGAGCTCGATGGGGACAAGAGGCATGGTGCCCTTCGGAACGGCGTGTTTGTCTAACCCTAAACCCTCAACCCTCACTCCTCAACCCTCAACCCTCAACCCTAAACCCTAAACCCTAAGTTGGTCCGTAATGAGTTCTGCCTTCGCATCAGACACGGGGTGCTGTACGCGGACCGGCTGGCTTTCTTCGAAAACTCCGAGGACACCCTACACCCTACACCCTACACCCTAAACCCTAAACCCTAAACCCTAAACCGTAAACCCTATACCCTATACCCTAAACCCTAAACCCTAAACCCTCAATCAGAAAGTTGAAGCCAGCTCCCATCCCTCGTAACGGAACCTCGACAGCTTGCCACTGTGTCGGAGGACATCGTTTATGCAGCCAGCCCCTCAGCAACTAGGATTTAGGGTTTAGGGTTTAGGGTTTAGGGTACTTGGAGGTTCCTGGTACTTCTTAAGCAATTATAACTGTACTTATAACCCACTCATAAGCCCCTTAAGTGCCCTAATATGGTTAGAAGTACAGTAATATGTAAGTACCATGAACCTCCAAGTAGGCATGACAGTTGCTATACCGCGATAGGAGAGAGCACGCTGCATCCACGTTCTCAATAGGCCCCCCAGCCCCCCGCCTGGCACCCACCTGCACCTTCATGCCACGCTGCTTTGAGAAAGGCATTGCAGCACAAACGCCGGCGGTTGTTACGCCTGTTCAATCATGGAAAGGCTATGCAGCAGTGATAGAAGCAACCTGATAGCGAGCGAGAGCGCCGTGCCTTCAATCGGCGAGTGGCACCGTGGCGCGAACATTACGCGTGTTAGCTTTGTTTGTTTCGTGCTTCTTGTCTGTTGGAACTGGAGATTTAGATTCCGCTCAATATCAAATAAACACCCCCCCGCCTTAAGCTCTGACAGCAGGCGGCTTTACCGCTACCCCAGGAGTCTGCCCCCCTCCCCCTAGGGTTTAGGGTTTAGGGTTTAGGGTTTAGGGTTTAGGGTTTAGGGTTTAGGGTTTAGGGTTTAGGGTTTAGGGTTCCCCCTCTCAGGTTTTAGGGTTTTGGGTCTAAGGGTTTTTGGCCGCTTTGTTTTGCGCTTGTTCAGTTGGTGCTTCGTTATTCCGGGTACGTTTAGCTACGTCTGTGATTTGCGGCGATTGAGCCGACCGCATCTTTTGCAGAAGCGCTTCTCCAGCCGTCACTTGAGATCTAGTCCTCCCTAAGCCCTAACCCCTCATGTTGTGACGGATTGTTGAATTCCGAGAGTCTTGGGATGTTCTCCCCTATACTAACAGTCCTTGATAGAGATTCTAATAGGGGGTTCCTAAAGCCCCTAATTAAGGACTCTTAGTATATGGGGGGGAAACATCCTTCAAAGTCTGAGTCATGAGCTCGACATGGCTGAGGATCCGAGCAGATCTGTGCAGCTGCGGGAGGTGCAGGCAGTTAAGGCAGCGTCGTGAGCACGGGTTTAGTTAGGGTTTAGGGTTTAGGGTTTAGGGTTTAGGGTTTAGGGTTTAGGGTTTAGGGTTTAGGGTTTAGGGTTTAGGGTTTAGGGTTTAGGGTTAGGGGTTTAGGGGTTTAGGGTTTAGGGTTCACGGACCATGGGGCAAGCCTTTAAGCCTTAAAAAAGCCCCCCGAAATCCCTAAAGACACTCTGAAGGCCAGCCAGGGACTCTTTGAGATCCAGGCCGGCTCTCTTTAGGCCTAGGGTTTGGGGCTTGGGGTTCAGGATTTGGGGTTTTTAGGGCTTAGGGTTTAGGGTTTAGGGTTTAGGGTTTAGGGTTTTTAGGGTTTAGGGTTTTGGGGCTGAGGGTTTGGGGTTTTGGGGCTTCCTGCAAGGTAGGGATCCTGGCAATGTGCTGCATCGAAGGACACACATGCCGGTTGACTTAAGGTGGGTTCCTGGGATTGTTTCCAGGACCGCGAAGTTTTTTGACGTTACCAAAATGCGTCCACAATTAGGGAGTTAGGTACTTTTCATTCCTATGCAAGGCTTTAAGGGGCTACAGAGAGACCATAGGAATTCAGGGGCATCCCTATGTTGGGCGAGACACTCATGGCACGGCGTGAGACCGTGGCGTGAGATTCCCAAGTCTTGTCTTCAGGCCCTCAGCGGACTCTTGAAGATGCGGTGTCGACAGGCTTTTGAGCTTTGGCAGCCTGATGCCTCAGCCAAATTCAGTCCTGTTGAATGTGCCGGTTTAGGGTTTAGGGTTTAGGGTTTAGGGAAATTTGCTGTTTAGGGTTTTGGGTTCAGGGATTGGTCCTCAGCTTTTTTGTGCACACTCTTGAGCGCGAGTGCCTTCCCACAGCGCACGTGATTCGCGGAACCGCCAATGATGGCTCAGACACGCAGTTGCTGAATCCGTTCTGGTAACCAGAAGTGTTGCCTCGGACCGCAATGCCGAAATTTCAGCCGCTTGACTGAATCGGCCTCATCTGGCTGGCTCTTAGTAGGGAATAAGGGGATGAGGGCCCTGCATATACCCTTTAAGGGATTATGTAGGGCCCTCATTCCCTCCTTCCCTACGAAACCCTAAACCCTAAACTACCCTAAATCCCCAAACTACCCTAAATCCCTAAACCCTAACCCTAAGCCCTAAACCCTAAACCCTAAACTACCCTAATCCCCAAAACCACCTTGTCTACAACTCTCATGCAGGTTGAAGCTTGGAGACAAGTGGGAGGACTTCGTTGACCGTGGTGGCCCCAAGGGTTCTGAGCTGGGGATGACGAATGCCAACCATACTGTTATCATTATTATTGTCATTTTTCTTCTTCGAACGATTGTGATTATTATTTATCATTATTATTATGATTGTGACTATGATTGTTATTGTAATTATTATTAGGATAACAAGCGCAACACGAAAACATGACATGATGATTGGATAAACGAGTAAAGCACAAGACAACAAGAGAGCCATATGACAAGATCAGAACATAATCATGTAACAGCATCATATGCAATCTTGTAATATTCAATAGTAAAGTAACACTGTAATTCTTGAGTGACATAGTATCAATATTGTATGTCATCAAAATACTCGAATCATGATTCACGACAAAAACATACCTATCCATATACAGCAGAATATATCTAGCGGAAGAATAAAAGAACCGCAGAACAACATATCAGTCATATCAGCAGAGCAATAAAAGCGTGCCAGTTCTTTGCCTATGTCTGCCGCCGAGGCGAGGATGAAGTCCTGATGAAGGTGGGTCGTAGCACTCACTTCCTTTGCGCCCAGTACAAGACGCTGCTTAATAGTGTTCTGCATTGGCAGGCGTTTCTGAGTGGGAAGAAGTTTGCGGAGTTCCACAGCCGAGGGCAGGACAGCTTGTTCTTGCAGTCTCAAAGTTGTGCGTTGCGGGACTCCAGCACTCGTTGCCTGAAGGACTACTATGTCGACTTTGCTAAGATGCTACAGAGAAACAAGAAGACAGGCCGGCAAGATGACGTTGCTTGAATTCGGAACACCCGCAGCATGATATTACCATTATTATTATTCCTATTATGACTATTATTACTATTACTAGTATTCTATTGTGTTACTGTCATTATTATGATTATGATTATTATGGTTTTTGTAATTGTTATTCTTATTGCCATTACTATTATCACACAGCCAGCCACTTTGGAGACCTTTTTTTGGCTGCCACCGACAGCTTACCCCGGGCATTTCTGCATTTCTCCGAGTGTAAGGTGAAAGGTTAAGTGATCGGGGGCCATTGTTGGGAGACAGCCATATGAAACGGTAAAAAGCCTCAGCGGCCTTGTCGGACCCTCTTCAAAATGCTGTTCGTGTTTGTTGCTGTTCACGGGTCTGTCGACCAGCTGCTACGCTGCTGGGCAAGTGTCAAAGAGGTTCCCCGTCACACCTCACGTGGTCAGTATTCATCAAGCCCAGTGAGGTGACTTATTTGTGCGTGACCGAGTGTAGTCAGTGTGGTCTGTGTTCCTGTCGTGTTGATGAAGACAGACAGGGTCTCTCCGTGTCTTTCTCTTCGCAAACTGTTCCAAGTAAGCCAATGTTCCCCTGTCTATTTGTTGTATGCATTGTTGTCGTTTGCGAGCATACTCGTATGCCACTTCCTTGTTTGTTCTCTGGTTCGGGCCCTTGCTCAAACCGCAATCTTGAACCAGTGCATTGAAAGCTGTTTCTGGTATGTGTACATGCGAAAGATTGAAGTCGACTTGGCTCTAGGCAAGGAGCGCCCCATCAAGATCATCTATGACGAAGAAGGTGGGGCACGGTGGCCCACTGTCAGTTGACATACTTGGGGATGTTCCCCCTTATCCTAACGTCCTTAATAGAAATAGTACCCTCTAAACCCTGAACCCTAAACCCTAAACCCTAATCCCTTTTCAGCACTGTTAGTATAAGGGGGAACATCCCATGACAGACTCCGTGACTTGCCATTCTTCACAGATGCTCACCGCAGGGGCCCCCGAAACCCTAAATTCGAGGTGCGAGGCTAAGCCCTAAACCCTAAACCCTAAACCCTAAACCCTAAACCCGAAACCCGAAACCCTAAACCCTAAATTCGGTGTGCGAGGCAAGCCGAAGCCCGCGAAGATGGAGTATCCCAAGCCTACTGCAGACCAGGCTTTGCATGGCATGGCTGGCAGCAGGCGGGGGTGTCAATACTATATCCCCCTGGGGAATTTATTTTTTATTTCATTATATTCTTTAAACTTATTTTTGTTTTAAGACCCAAGAGGGTAATAAACATATTAGTTTTTATTAAGGTTCTAAGGGGAGTATAGAGTAAGGGCGCATCAACTTGGATTCTCATGGCGATAACTTTTCCGCCTGTGTATCTGGATTCTCTCATGAGAATTCCCAGGCCACCCGTCGTGGAAGGTGCGGTTGTGGGGTACACTCCTGGCATGTCACCAGCTCATGCACCCGCGCTTGGCCTAGTTGTGTTGCTTGACGTTGTTTGCTTGTTGACGCTGCTGGTGACCCAGTCCAGTTCTGTCCAAACCTAGGCAGGACCAACACCAGGTGCCGATTATGGGTTCGATCAGTAAACTTTGGAGCATAAGGCGGTTTGTTGCAGCACTCTGGTCTGGTGCGGTTGCTTATAAGACCGGATGCATGATGTTCTGGGAGGCATTGCGTATACCCCGGGCGCTAGCCCTGGACCAGCCTGCCACTACCATGCGCCGGCATCTGCACCGAGTCCGGCGTATTATGATCCAGGAGCAGCCTTCATCATGAGATGAGATTTGAGAAACCCGATAAACCCGATAAACCCTATGAACCCTAAACCCTAAACCCTAAACCACCATTCTGGAGAACGGTTTCTTCAACAAGTTGTGGGCGTTTTGCAGGCTGTGCTCCTCCATATGCAAGTCCTGGCCACGCACACTACGCGCCGGGGCCGGCCTATGGACCTGGTCCCGCCTATGGACCCGGTCCCGCCTATGGACCTGGTCCCGCATACTCACCGGCCGGGTCCTGGAAAGATCAGCCATGCGAATTGTTCTTTAGCTGTGCTTTGCTGTACCTCTAGATCCTCAGCCGTTTTGGGGTTGATTGGGTTTCTTAATACGGCAGCTAAAAATTTTGTGTACAGCTACCCTTCTGAGTGCAGCCAAGTGGTATGCTTTCCGCTTTGGGCCACAATCCTCTCAAGAAGTGTTTCGGGATTCAGTTCTTCATAGACATTGCAGTTAAACACAGAAGAGCAAACTCTATGCGGGGGAGTCCAGTGCGTCAAAATTGTCCTCCTGATAGTGCGGCCAGAAAGGTTTCGAGGGTTCAACAAGTGTCATGTCCCGGTGGCCTGTTTGGAATATGCCGGGAAACCACCCACCGTATTCAATGGACATGGGGGTTTACGAAACAATGGACCCCTAATATTGTCCCCAATTAGTAGGATTCCCGTAAAATAGGGACCCCTCTACGCTACCTAATTTCGGAACCCCCGTATGTGTTGCTGTGTGAAGCGGTGGGAATCGGGCATAGGTCCTTGGTCTAGGTCCCACCCAGTGTCTTGATATTTTGGGGTTTCTGTTTGGCATTTCAACCGCAAACCTAAGAGAATAATCACCAGTACCGTGCTACCTGCGGGTGGTGTCGTGCGGCGTCCGTTGCGCTATGTGCATACTTGCATAGACCGAACACCGAATGTGGATGCCCCAAGTTTTTGGCTTTCGGGCTTTCGCCGATTGTTGTAAGGCGGCCCAGTCCATGCCTAATTAGTTAAAGCCCAAGCCGTGGCTTTCACATTCACGGGCCTCAGAGTCTTTCGTTCTCACAAGCCAAGCCTCTGAAGTTCCACAAGCAATTCAAACCCCAAGCGGCCGAGTGGCCCTAAACCCTAGAACCGAAACCCCAAACCCTGACCCTAAACCCTAAACTGCCCTGGTGCAGGGCCCGGGCGGCATGGGTGGAATGGGCGGCGGTGGAGGTATGGGGGGCACCGGCGCTATGTTGGCTGCTGGTGGGGCAGGAGTGCTTGGAGGACTTTTGCACCTTGCTAGCACGAATGCACATCAGTGCACGCACCTGTTCTTTGTCCCCATTTCAGTCGCACTCTGCCCATAGGGCAGCTCATGGCCCCTACGGCAAGTAGAAGTAAACATATGGACTTTTACTCTCAGCAGGCCTTCTTTGGAGTAAACCGAGGTTGGGAGAGATCCTGGACTGATCAGCTGCATGCCAGCACTCTAGTGGCTGGCTGTGAATTGCGCATGCAAAGTGCAGACATGTTCCTGCCTCTGCACCGACAGCTGCACCAACGAGGTTCGAGTGCTTGCACTGGCAGATGGCTCAGCAATTCAGCTGAGTGTTGCCTCACTCAACTCTCACCCTAAACCCTAAACTTACCGCAAACCCTAAACCCTAAACCCTAAACCCTAAACCCTAAACCAACCCTAAACTGCCTTTGAACTCCTTAGGCTGCCAGCAGATGTCTCACCAAAACCGATGCGCTGTGCAGCGCTGCGGCTGGAGTGAACATTGTCAGTCGACGCGTGCAGGCAGGAGTTGTGAGCAACGCCTTGTCGTATCAGGATCAGTTGATGAGATAGCACATCTAACGCCAGGAAGAATGCACATATCTTTGTATATGTGTTGTATATGTGTATTTTGCATGGATAGCATAGGTTTATTACGACAATTGATTCCTAGAAGGGATTGGTATCCCCCTAAGGGGGGAACCAGGCCTAATTAAGGTGAATTAACGGGAACCAGGGGTTGTATAGGGGGGTTCGTAGGGAAATCCATGATTCATGCAGGAGCTCCTGCCTCAAGTCCCTTTCCAATCGCATCGCGAGCATACTAAGAGCCAAAGAGCTCCTGGTCGTGTGCGACTGCGTGCTTGGTTGTTTATGGGTACCTTCAACCTCGGTGTCAAGTTTACTTATAACTTACAACCTACCTTGGGGCCTTGGGGGGCATATAAGTGCAGGCTCGCATTGGGGCGAAAAGTGCCCGTGAGCAGCTCACTCTTGAGCATGTCCAGGATGCCCCATGGGCTGCATTTGGTCTTCCACGCCTGCCTGATGTTTCAGCGAGCGGACGGTCGCTTTGGCCTGCTTTCCTCACATGGCCATCACCATTCCGAAGATGACGCTGGAAGCGGTGATCTTCTGGGAGTTTGTGGGCAAGTCACCCCACCTTGGCTGGAGGATTTCTGTGAGCTGGTGACCTGCGCGGCCACGATCCTTCTGGCCATGCTGCTCATCTTCCTTGCGGCGTTTGGCTTTGCACTGTGTCTTCAGCACAAGGTCGCGCGGCAGAACTACACTTTGTGGTCTCCGACACGGCTTGGCCGCCTCTGCGGCATGCGCTGCCGCCTCAAGTTTATTTCGGGGGGAAATTGTGATGAGGGCCAGCCACTTGCAGTCCTAGTTGCAGGCCGCTACGAAGCCGCCAAGCTTCGGGGTCATGGATGGAAATCATTTTTACTTTTTCAATATTTTCATGAATGCTTCTAAGCCTTCTAAGCCCAAGAGGGACTTTAGACTATGATCTTTTTTGAGGGACATCCCAGCCATGGCGCAGGCTCGCTGGAACTGTGGAACACAACCAGTCTTATCAGGCGCAGATTCAAGTCCGAGATGGAACTACACTGCTGCTGACGGTGGATGAGATGATTCGGGGAGGCCTTTGCTTAGTCGCTCCACACTACTACGTAGGCTTTGCCCCGGCCACAGCTGATGATGTCCGCCGTGGTTTCACGCGCCCCGCGGAGAGCAAGCCTGAAGATCAGGCAAATGCGCAGAGCGACTTTGGCGGCTGCGCCGTTGGCAGCTGTGTCATTGCATGATCTCACCCACCAACGACGTTTCAACAAGGCACCATAAGGCACCCAAAGGGCGCACGGAAGGGAGAGCACTTCCCGCGCGGACCAAACAAGGAGTGGGGTGCGGGGAGCGGTGCTTCGCGTTTGGATGGGTCTGTCGGCTCAAGTTTAGGGTTCAGGTTGTTATCAGGGCTGCAACTTTCTTCTAAGCTCCTTTTTTTTCTGGGGGCGGGGGGGGGGTGATATACCTACGGGAGGGGACTACTTGTTCCGCTTCTTCAGTTTTAGGGTGGAGAGGAGCGGGGTTTGCCACAAAGCGGATAAACACAAACACCCTAAACCCTAAACCCTAATCAAACCCTAACCCCTAAACCCTAAACCCTAAAGACTTGTGCTGATTGACCAGGCCTCCCCCCCGGGCGGCCGAGGGCACTGACGCGGTGATTCCGAAGCCTCAAGTCAGGTGCAAGGTTTCGGGATGAGAAGGTTTAGGGTTTAGAGTTTAGGGTTTAGGGTTTAGGGTTTAAAATACCTCTACAACTTGTTAGGGTCCCAATCAAGCATAATCCTAGCAACTCCTAACTCCTGAATTGCCTGCTAAGCAGGGGTAGCGTTGAGGGGTTCGGGACTTGGGCTAAACCCTAAACCCTGAACCCTAAACCACACCAAGACTCCCGGGGAGCATGGTTCTCGGCTTCTAGATGGTCCAGTCGTGTCCACTTCTTTAGAGTAAGTATGTAGTTCACAAATTGGGGTCTAGGGTTTTGCAAGAGTTTGGTTTTCCTGTTTCCGGAGTGCCCTCAACGCAATCCCACCCAACCTTCTACTGTCCTTGCAATCAATGGAGTTCCAGAGGTGAGACGCAGCAGTTGGGATTACATCCGGTCAATGGACTTATGCTTGCGGTTCTGAGTCTAACAGTGGTGACATCAGCCAAAGGTTCCGAAGCCAGAACGTCAAAGTCATGGGGTAACGCAGTAGCATCTTTTGTCAGCTGTCACCTTAATCCTAAACCCACAACCCTAAATCCTAAATCCTTAGACCCTAGTTCCTGCCATCCTTTGTCAGACTGAAGCGACTTTCGGCAGCGCAACATTCTACCTACTCTCGGGCCCAAGTTCTTTCTAGCTCAACCACAATGCTAACATAGTGACAAAGTGCCCGAAGGCCTGTGCCTGCTCCTTTGCAGATGATGGACTCCTGCCCTGAAAGGGCCGAAGTTCCGTAGCAGCCACACGCCGGGGTTTGTTGGCCCGCATGCCAAAAAACCACGGATGCGGTGGATTCCCCTCTCCGCTTGCTGGCAGTAGCGGTTCCTGCAAGTATCGTGGAGCTTTCTTTGTGGCGCCCCTAAGCCCCTAAGCATAAATCTTATACCCTACACGGGCTTTAGGGTGTAGGCTACACCCTACACACTAAGTCGGAAAGAAGGAGGCTTTGCTGGCAAGCACTGCACAGAGGCTTTTGCCAGAGGGAGACGTTAAAACAGTCAGTGGATGGATCCCCACATGTTGAGAGTGATCTTGTGCGATGCCATGTGTGCACACATACCATTAGCTGGTACCTTATTGGGGTCCTTATTCTAAGGGGATCCTACGGGGTGTATATTAGGGGTCCCCGATGTTCGCCAACCCCCATATACCTGGCTGCAGCTGCAGCTGTCAACACCCAGGTCGAGCCTTTCGGAAGCTGGGGCCTGAACTCATTCGAGTGCGCAGTGTACCCGGAAGGAAGTGGCCCAAGTTGTTGCGCATTGCGTCTGCCAGGCATTGGAGCCAACCTTCACCAAGCATGTGAAAGGCAAGACAGTTGCTGGCCCAGACAGTGAGTCTAGGCAGCCTTGGGGTTGTTCAGCGATCCGCACCTCCTTGCAGCCCTAGGTAGAGTGGATGAACATTCGAGAGCCTTCGGGTCGAACCCTGAGCGGCAGCATCGATGTGGAGGTTTCCAAAGTTCGGGGATACCTTATTGGGGTCCTGATTAAGATGGAGAATCCTACTATTTGGTGGTCTATGGTCTATGGTAGTGATCCTCTGTTATCGTAAACCCCAAATTCTGCCATGTTCTGCATGGACTTTTTACACTTGATCTGCGATGCCGAGATTCGCCGGTGCGGCTGCCGAAGCCAGGTCGAGCCAATGTACTGATGCATGGTCTTTCTGTTTAGGCTCTTTTAGGGTCTCAGGGTCTTCGGGTCTTAGGGTTTTTAGGGTCTTAGGGTCTGAGGGTCTGAGGGTCTCAGGGTCTCAGCGTCTTAGGGTCTTAGGGTCTTAGGGTCTTAGGGTTCAAAGAGGTAGGCACCAGCCGTATCTAGCTCTCTCATACTGGATGCAGTAGAGTCCTCCCTTGAGCTGTGTGCCTGGTCCCGTCAGGTGCGAGTGCAAAGCCAATGCATCAAGGGCCCCTGAAAATCGCGCAACACTCAGACCCAGCATGCTTGGACCCTAAACCCCAAGCCGTAACTTAAACCTTGCTGGCTTTAGGGGACGGTTTAGGGTTTAGGGTTTAGGGTTTGGGGTTTAGGGTTTAGGGTTTTCGGTTTAGGGTTTTCGGTTTAGGGTAACCCCTCCTGCGCGGCCAGGATGTCGTCTAATATGATGTCATGGAGTCAAATGTGGGGGGGGGGGGGGGGGGGGGGTGGGGAGATGGCACTTTTGTATGTTTTTTTTGGGGGGGGGGGGGGGAGCCCTATTTTTTGGGGGCTTAGTGTTAAAGTTTAGGGTTTTGGGTCAGTTTTTTTTTTTTTTTTTTGGGGGGGGGGGGGGGGGGGTTGGGGGGTGGGGGGGGTGGGGGGGGGGGGGGGGGGGATGGGGGGGGGGGTGGGGGGGGGGGGGGGGGGTGGGGGGGGGGGGGTGGGGGGGTGGGTGGAGGGGGGGGGGGGGGGGGGAGTGGGTGGGGAACCCTATTTTTGTTGGAAAAGCCCATGTGCTCACTGAGGTACAGGAGGACGGAGAGCAGGCAGTTTGGGCTGCTCCAGCTGTGCTGCATCCTGCAGGGTTTAGGGTTTGGGGTTTAGGGTTTCAATTTAGGGTTTAGGGTTTGGGGTTTAGGGTTTAGGGTTTACTGTTTAGGGAGCCCCGAAAATACCCCAAGGCTACCCTGACCTCATGCCGCCAGATGCGGTACTTCCTGGTGTACAACGACCGCTTCGAGCATTTCACGGATGCAGCGAAGGCACTCCGAGGATCGGGATCCTCAGGAGGTGGGCTCCGAGAAAAGAAGCAAGCTTGTCATGCGCAGAATTCAGCTCTAAACCCCAAACCCCAAACCCCAAACCCCAAGCCCCAAGCCCCAAGCCCCAAACCCTAAACCCCAAACCCCAAACCCTAAACCCTACACCCTAAACCCTGAGTGGGTCCTTGGAATCCTCAGCGCAGGGTTGTACTTAACACGGCAAGCATGCTTGATGCTTCGTGCTCACTCTGCCTTCCAGGAGTGGTGCACGCAATGGACGTAACGTCTGTCCGAGCTTTGGCCTCAGGCAGCCCCATGGGCATCCACCGGCTTTCGTGGTCATAAGCGCGCTCTGATGCCGACAAGGTCTAAGGGAAGCTGCCTGGTTCCTTCATATGGTGTAATTATGAGGTCCATGTAAGGGTTCTCCAATGGAGGGCCCATATTAAGGGACCAAGTAGCTAGCTACCCTAAGATAAGAGCTGAGGTCATTGAGAACGCCTTCATTTTCCAGCTCAGACAAGAAAGTTTCTGCCCCAGTGCGTGGACAGCGCCAGGCCGTGTTTCCGCTTGGCTGCAGGGGATAACTGTACTTATAACTATAGTAGTGCACTTGAGGGGCTTATAAGTGGGTTGTAAGTACAGTTCTCACTGGTTTATAAGTACCATGAACCTCCAAGTACAGGCAGGAGGATAGTCGTTGATTTGCCTCGAGGTCTGCACGTGCAAGTCCCGATTGGTGAGGACAACTTGCTGCAACTCTTGGGAATGACAGTGGTCTCATGTGAGTTCATGGTCTCATGTGAATGCAAAGAGAGGTGAGATGTAGCAGAGCCCTAAACCCTAAACCCTAAACCCTAAACCCTAAACCCTAAACCCTATACCTATACCCTATACCTATACCCTATACCCTAGGTGGTTTGGACCCAGGACATGGAACTCTGGGTTTCAGCCTTCCAGCTGCTCTTCCACCCGCAGAGCTGCCGGCAAGTTTGTGTCCCCCTTCGAAGTCCATTAGGGTTTAGGGTTTAGGGTTTAGGGTTTTTGTTTTAGGGTTTTGTGTTTAGGGTTTGGAAAGACATTTTCTCAGCTTTGAAGGAACGACGCTGGTCAGGTCGGTGCCTAAAGCTGACGACAGCTGTTGCTGGCACATTGTCATGTTGTTGAATGGGTTTACGGTTCAGGTGTTGGAGGGCCGAGGGGTTCTCGAAATTAGGGTCCCCTTTGGGGGGGGTCTTTATTTCAAGGGATTCCAAAGGGGGATGTACTACGTACATATATGACCCCCAAAAGGGACCTACTGTAACTGAGAGAGCTACCCGAATCCAAAAGGTGCTGGGTGTCTTGGTGACTTTTGCCTCCCCGCCTTAAAGAGCATAAAATCGCGTGGAATTTCGCAGATGTTGCTCCCTTGGCTCGGCCTCAAGGCAGTTGAATCACGAGCTCTTTGAAAGTCCCTTGGTGAGCGTTTCGCAACATAGGGCTCCCCCAAACAACTCCCTAAACCTTAAACACTCA